TTTCGCTATTTGAATCAGTTAGAGACCTTTAGTCCATTTGTTTTCGATTTTCCACATTCCTTTTGAGCTCCTCACTTCTTTCCGGCCTCGCATTTCTTAGCCTTAGACCTCATAATGAATAAGGTTGATGCACTATTTCGCACTCCGTTTTCGCAGCTGCCGCTGGAACAAAAATTAGAGGTACAACGTCTTGGGCCTTATCAACCAAAAAATTGTTCACTGGAACAATCCCATGACGGAGGAAAGCGTCGGCGTACATTCTGCGCAGAAACTTGGTATAAAAAACACGAATTGTTGTGTTACAGCGAGGACAAAAATGCACTTTTTTGTTTTTATTGCCTACTTTTTGCTACCGCCCGTGACTCACGTTGGTGTAAATTTGGTTTTAGAGATCTTAAACATCTTTCCGAGCGTGTCAGGGATCATCAATCTTCTATGGAGCATCCGGACAATGCAGTAAAATACCGAACATTCGGAAATGTTAATATTGCAGCACAGTTGGATGAAGGACGCGCGGTTTCTATTCGTCGGCACAACAAAAACGTCGAGAAAAACCGCCATGTTCTCGGTCGATTGATAGATGTTTTGAAGTTCATTGGTTGTCACGAGCTGTCCCTCCGTGGGCACGATGAACGGGCTGGCTCTTCTAATAGAGGGGTATTTTTGGATATGGTGGAATACACCGCATCCCTAGATACAGTATTGAGAGATCATCTTGATGCCGCAACTGTTTCGAAAGGGACATCTAAGGATATCCAAAATGATTTGCTCGACTCAATGTATAAAATTTATTTACAACATTTGGCTCTGGAAATTGAGAATTGCCAGTTCCTTTCGATTCAGTCTGACGAGACAACTGACATCACGTGCGTTTCCCAACTGCCTGTGATTTTTCGGTTTGTGAAAGATGGTAAACCTACCGAGAGATTTCACAGCTTTGTACCAATCGTTGATCGCACGGCTTGCGGAATATCGGCTGTACTGAAAGAAGTGTTACAGCCTTACAACGAGAAGTCAAAATTGATAGCTCAAACTTATGACGGCGCGGCAGTCATGAGTGGGTCGAAACATGGTGTTCAAGTTTATATAAAAGAAGATTTTCCTCATGCGCATTTTTTACATTGTTATGCACACCAATTTAACCTCGTTATTAAAAATATGTGTCTTGATACCCCTCTCGTCCGTATATTTTTTGCAAATGTTTCGGGGTTTTCTTCATTTTTTTCCGTTTCGCCGAAGCGCTCTGACCTCCTTCGCCAGATATGTATCCGCCGTCTTCCAGCTTGTGCACCAACACGTTGGAACTTCCAATCACGCGTGGTGCAGGGCGTGTCCGAAATTAGGTCTGAGCTCATTGAGTGTTTCAATGGCATTCAGAGCTCTCCGGTTTGGGACGAACGCTCTGTGAGGGAGGCGGCAGGTCTAAAGCGTCTGCTAGAAGATGGTGAGTTTTCATTTTTTCTCGCTTTTTTTCTCCACAATATTCTATCACGTGGATGCATTATACGGCGCATTGCAGTCAAGGCTAATGGATGGAGCGTCTGTGCAGTCGTGTATTTCAGACTTCTGCGATGCTGTATCTCGTATCCGGGAAACAATAAAATACGACGACACATGGAGTGCTTCTTTACGCCGCGGGCAAACAACGCAGCGTTTGATTTTGTCTGCAAAGGAATGCTGTGACATTCTGGTGAATCAAATAGGCGATCGTCTGCGCACTGAACACCTTGCCGCGTTCTCTTTGATAAACCCCGAAAAATTTTCAAAATTTGCACGTCAATTTTTCATCCATTTGTTGGCTACTACTACTGCAAATTTTACCCCATGATAAACGTGGGTAAATTGGAAAATGAATTGCAATGTATATACACCAATCAAACTTTTTTGAACATCACATCAACTTGCGCGCTTTATGGGTTCCTCATAGATAACACTCTAGTAACTACCTTTGCGGCGTCTGCAAAATTTCTGGACATCATTTTGACGACGCCTATTTCTTCCGCCGACGCAGAGCGAACATTCAGCACGCTGAAGCGTATTAAAACGTATCTCAGAAACACAATGAAGCAAGATAGATTAAATTCCTTGGCTGTTTTATCCATTCACAGAGACGTTATTTCTGGGATGCATGACTTTAATCAGCGCGTTATTGAGCATTTTGCTTCCAAGAAACCGCGGCGTGTTGCATATATGTTCAAGCAGTAGAAGTCTAGCAGCATATATATCTATGAGTGAGCGACGCATGTCCTTATCTTTGAATTACCTTTCCTTTCTTCATAGTAACGTTTTAAACCTTATTTTTGGTTTTGTCTGCTCTCCCGAAGTTTCTGTTAATATGTCATTGTATTTATCTGGGTAAATATTGCCTTTCCTTTTGAAAGAGGTTTCAAAATAAACTATGTCTATATTTATTAATCCCTTGACTTGGACCGGTTTTAAAGACACTTTCTTATCGTTAAATATTGTCGCTTTTGCCGATTGGTTGTTACCGATGGAATGGTTTTTATACTCATAAAATGATGGGAGAACTTACAGCGCTCATCCTGTCCCCGTAGATGGGGGTGACTTGGTCCCGCAGTAGCTTGCCCCGGTTGTCAAAATGACCACGCGCCGCCACTGGAGTATGGACTATAGACTATATTTTAAAACATCAACTGTCTGTCTACAACTTGATTTCTCACCTCTCAATCGTTCCCAATGCTACTTCCTTTCCACTCCGGCATACCTTATCATTGCTTCACAGGTTCTTGTCGACTCTATGAATTTAGATTTAGACCAACCGACATTAGTAAAATTGATTATTTTCTTCTCTTTCACACAACCGTGTATTACAGAAGCAGCCATTAATTTTTATTTCCAAATATGCTGTGGCCTATATAGTAGTATAAGTCTGCTGAATAGTCGAGAAGAGTCATTAAATTAATCTTAAACATTTCATGCGAGCCAGAAAATATCGTTGTTTGTGACATATTATTCTAGGTCTAGCCTTCCTTGGTATTACCGCACCGTACCTATTTAACAACGTCTTATGAGCTAGTGCTCAACTAAAATTGCTATTTATAGAAAGGATATACTATATATGGATATGCTATATATAGTAAGTGTTTAATATCTTACTTATACTATTCAACACCTCCTTAGAATAACTGAACTAATAATAACTGAAAAAAAACTATGGAAAGGCTACTCAACGCAAAAGCGAGCAGTATAGTAGTACATCTGATATTCATCCAACCACGGGGGATCCACCTACAGCTGACTAATTTGATTGTTACGTTATGCAGAAGTCTGCGTTCATTGGCCCATGATACCGGAAAAGCAGAAAAAATAGGACAGATGGTAACACATAACACGCAATTCTTTGTTGTCATTGAGGCATATCCTTCTTACAGATGTCGCTGTTTGGTCATATAATACGATGTAATCATTGTAGTATCCCGGTGTTTATTTCGATTTTATTTTGTTCTTACTCTGTATGATCGAGTTTAATTAGGTAAATATCTAATACTCCATAGTTATTATGACATCCTGTATTTTATTTTTCAAACTTTGTTGTTCCTTTTTGTGATTGAGTCTAATTAAGTGAATGTTTAGGTAAATTTTCGTGGTCATTGTGGCATTCTTTTTGTTGTCCCTTTTATATATATGATTGTGTCGAATTTAGTGATTTTTAATATTGAGTTGTTCGGTTGCTATATTTGCTGCTTCAATGCAGCTACAAGGTGTCGCTGACTGGATGACTCTTTGAGTCTTTCGCGATCCCTCGTCTATTGCAACAAGCCGATATCCGTCTCCGTAATTTGTTATAAGTCTTTTTTTATTTTTTCATATCGTATATTGGTTTTGCATGACGAAAATAAAATCTGAATCTGATATTTATTGTAGTAAAAGCGTCTTTTCTGTAAAACGTGCAACTTTGGGAAGTGGGAACAAGGCAATATTTGTTACTAAATTTCTAAGGAACATTTTAAAATCATATTCAGGTAGTTACCTTATGTGCGCTACGAAACTGAGAGATAAATGGCCTCGGCTCGCGGCCTAGTTGAACTGCTGGGCAGAACAGGGGTGACGAAACAGTGCCCGCTTGCTGTTCACATAGCGACCCACCAATATTCTTCGCCGACACGCAATGTTACGAATTAATGCATTGATACTAACATTTTAGCGATGAAAAACCCTAATTCAATCTAACAATAAGTGAAATAGTTTAGTATACTGAAATGCAGCTAATGAAATTACTCCAGTTACATCATTTATGTTTAAAACATTAACTTTGAATTTGTTACGCATTTTCTCCACCTCGTGCCGGTAAGAAATTGATTTTATAGTCGTTCGCCTCTATAGAGTATACCATTTTATCATAAAATGTTGTATGCTTTTTATGCAACAGTATGTGACTTGATGGGTCCCCAAAAACACGCTAGGTCACTTAATGGCCCACGGGTCAGTGGGTCGCCATTCCCGACCCGAGGCCTCTCATAAGCTAAATCCGCCGTGGGTATCCGCCCCCTTAGGTATTTGTTGTTTCAGATACATGGACCTGATAGTGGAGGAAGCCGTACCGGCAACGTTACGTGAACCAGCCAACAATCCTCTTGCACTAATTTAACCCCACCCCCACGGGATTCAAACTAGAGACGAATAATAAATAATATCGAGTATTGGGTTTATCTGCCATATTGCCGACATCAGTGATTGTATCGTTATCGACTGAAAACAGCTCGTTACTTCCGATATATTCAACTCTTTGATCTGATCTAGAATGTTTTAAAAACAGAAGTCAGTACACGCGGATGACACATGTGCGCAGTATCTACCGCCTCAAGGATTGTTACTGAATGAATGGGCATGTATATATATATTTGTATTTCACTCAACATGTATTTAGTAGATAACTTGCTTTGAGGGTTCTAAGCTAGCTCAGCGAATCCTAGCACTTGTTTACAACGAAATGTTGGCAAGTGCTTAGCGTCTCTGCATACAGACATAAAAAGTTAAAATGCAGTTAATTCAGGTTTTTTAATAAAACCATGGTGGTAAGTCATGTGACTCGCCATTTATGCATTTGCATCGCAAATACGAATTTGAAGTTGCGCGTTACCGTGTTTTTGGATATCTTTTCTTTTAGTTGAAATGTTCAGGCCGCAGGTTATTGGAAAATCAGCAATTTCACATAGCTGCGTATCGGTATCAGCGCTTTTTATTAGTATCAATATCAAATTTTTGAAAATTACTGTTATATCAGACAAAGCAACAAACAGAGAAAGTCTCGGACAATTTCAGATATCTCATTTAAGTTTGATAAATGCATCTGAATCAAGAACCTGCCGTTTATTCTTCAAAGAAAATTGCTCCATAATAACTCGCAATGAATCCCGTTCAGTGGACAAATATCATCTCTTTTTGTACACACATGGTTTCAGGATTTCCGAGCTTGGTTTTATATGAGATTGTGGAGATTTTATCTTACGAAAATCAAACATTAAAAAATGAGAATTTTCTCGATCCTGTAAAAAATAAAAATTCAGTAAATTAGAAATGAATGTACAAGAAAATACAGAAACCCAAGTCTCTAGTTCAGTTTAGGATAAATAGCGATAGCTAACCAGTTAATTGTTCCAGATGCATGAACATGGTTAGTGACGAAATAGGACCAGGTAACACTTTACCACAGATTATGAGGGCAAATTGGAGCTCAGCAATAGCTGTGTCGTTAGATATTTGAAGCATAATTAGGAATAGAATCACAGTAAACCCAATGCTTGGAATCTGAAATTCTCCTATTTATGTGCATCCGCAAGAAGTAGTACTTTTGCTAGTAAATTACAATTGGGGAAATAGGGCATGACTATTCCCTCAAATTTAGACAGAAAATCCTGCATGCTCAAGACATAATAAGCCAGCACATAAACATAATTAGATTTTTTTACATGATTTCATATCTTGTACAATACATAGTTGTATAAAGAACTTAATATTTACAATTGCTAAATGTTATACCCCTTGTATGACAATATTATAATTTCCAAATAGAGCATCATGGAATAGCATAAGGTCACATGCCCATTTTTGATAATGCTTGCATTATTATAGTGGTTGGTTAGATCAAAATAAATATAATATGGCTTGGTAGTTTTCTATTTGGAGTAAGTGTGTCATGTAACTCATGTTTACCAAAATGTCCTATAAAACATACCTGACGTTCCAACTCAAATCCTAATTTTTTCATCAACATAACAAATTTAGAAATATTTGTAAATCGACTTGCCACCTCTGCAATCTTTAAAACCCCCCTAAAACAAATAACAGTTACACACAAAGTTGACAATAAAAGCTGTTATGATATTATCTGTAATGCATGGTAATATCTTGCTGTGGGTTAAAAATAGTCAAAAAAGGCTGTAGTCTGTAATCCCCAGTTAAAAGTTTACTAATATGTCTGAAAGGTTTTTCCAATCTTTTCATATTCGTTTATTTGCATTCATATCCTCTTGATGCAATGATGACTGCTGATCTGAGTTATTGAACCCGGCAATAAAAAGTTGGACAAATGGATAATGAATTAGATCAATTCTTCTACTAGAACATTGAATTTCTCTCATTAGAAAATGACACAATCAATGTGAATAAGTGAACAGAAATGCCGAAGTTGATAAAAACACAGATGTTAATAGGTGAGGTTACTACATGTTCGAAATATATAGTAATCTGTAATACGTAGAAAAGAAGATATAAATACTTGTGACGAAGTGTTCTATTTGCTTCCATGAGGAATTCTACATAATTTGTTCCCATAAGTGACAAACATAAAACAGCAACATCAATGCTTCCATTAGGTAGTGGAACCTAGAGTGAAAAAAAACACAATAATCTATGTTTCTAAAAAATTATGATCAGAAGCAAGGTGCCAAAAATGGGGTCGATGGAAATCTATCACTGGTGGAACAAAATGGGGTACCAATTTTCTGTAACCTATTTCTGACAAGGAAATCTTTTAATATGCTAGAAATATTCATTTCAGTACTGCTATGTCAAAGTTAAATTTTCAATGACCTGAGATATATCCGCAACAGTGACTCTAGTATTTACAGCAACCAAATCAAACGAGTAAACTTTGTTTTTAATGCTTGCAGCAAGTCTTGCATCACCACATCCGAAGTCCCCAATGACCCAATCTGAAGGTCTTATAAAATAAGAAATACCATTTAGCTTTGCAGCGAATTGATAAGATAAAAACATTGGCAAAAGCAAAGTAAGTTTTCAAGAATAATTATACAAGCAATTGATGAAGGAAAAAATAAGATTCAGTCTTTGATCAACAATTGTTGCAATAAAAACGCTAAAATAAAGTCATTGTCTTTATAGCTTACATATTTCATTTAAATATAATTACAAATACAAATTTTAAAAAGGTTTATGTTCTGCAAAATGTTATTATTGTACTGACAGGCAATAAATGCCAATTATGATAGATGTTTCACAACATAACATGCCTCATCGCAAGGATGTTTAGAAATGTGACTTTCAATTTTCTATTAATAATAAAAAGCAATATAAAACATGAATTGAAATTTTACCTTTTTTTCAAATAATTTATGATAAGATCCAGAGGATTCACAGGCCACTTCGATACTTGCTTTTTGAAACCAGCATGATATGACTGAAATGATTTTACATCGCTTGTAAACAGTTGTTTTGCATCCTTGCTTGTTCGAGTATATAACTGAAAATTAAAATATATTCAGCAAGATTTGGTTGGGGCATATATAATTCAAAATTTTCGACAATGCATAAAACACCCTGTTTGAAATAATCATGATACTCAAAATAAAACGAAAACCAATTTCAAAAAACCAAACCCATATGATTATTTATTGTAAGTGAATTTTGAAGGAAAAAAGACAAGAGTATTGATTTCATAGTTTTATTCTAAATTGTTAGATAAGAAAATCAAACTCCAATCAAAGCCATGTGAAAATATCACAAATGAAGCAAAAATACCAATATTTGGCAATTTTTGGTGCATTTTATTTGTTACCACATATTATACACAATTTGTATTTTGTCTCAAAAAAGAATTTTTTTTTGTGTTTCCAAATATTGAAGTTTTTCATTAATAAACAGAAATTTTGTCAAGGTTAGGTCAGACACATGTTCGTTTACGCTTATGTTTATTGCATGCCAGTGGGTATGTTTTCGCTTCATTTACTGCATTGATACAGGTGTGTATGAATCAGGCTAACTAAAGAAAAAGTGCAGAGATTTATCCTCTGCCATCAAAATTTAGCAGTGTTTTATCTCCGAGTATACTTTTTACTTTTTGCTAATTACAAAAACTTGACGACAAATAGGAAAAAATACCTGTTCATTTATAAATCTAAATTGCGAAGATTCCAGCTTAGATGTAACAGCATTTCTCAAATCATCAGATCTTTTATCGATGGCAGTAGAATGTGGCTCACTTTTTGTATTGCTAGTGACTGGTTTCAGCTGATTTTGTTGAAACCTTGACGAACTTCTTTCTTTACGAGGTTTTTCGAACTCAACAAGGCCAATACCCAGCATTTCAGATAATTTTCTTCTTTTCCGATCCATTTTATCAGGTACGATTTGTGGAGTGGTAGTTTTCAGTGTGTCTTTTTCGTTTGAAGATTCTTCATCAACATCTTTCAAGTTGTTTAGTAGCAAATTCTGATTCTGAAATGTATTACATGGATCTCTCTTCTTACGTTTTCTGCTTTTCACTTTTCTTACATGGTGTATTTCTGGAGGCGATTTGCTTAATTCTACATTTTTTGGGCTGAATTCACTGTATTCTGTTGTTGGTATAAGTGACTTGACACTACAACTTGACTTTTTAACTTTTTTTCGTTTTCTTCTATTAGGAACTGTATTAATTTGTTTTAAATCTATAGCGGTATCATGTCGCCCATCAAAGAGTGAGGTCTTCAAGTCTATCCCTCTGTTATCATCTTTCCAGTCTTCTTCATCAAACAGCATTTTTTACTGTTTCAGTATTCTTTTATTGCTCCAGGATTTAGTTCAATAAAATTTCTCATTTCAGTATTTACCGTAACTAGAAAAAAGTATATATATAACTTATATTTACCAGTAAATGCTGTACGCGTCCTAACACAAAAATATAACCAGTAGTCTTACTTAAACAATATATATTATCATCATATTAGCAATTTTCTCTGCTTTGAACATGTTACTGTTTGGAGATTATTTTTTTAAGGTCAATTCAACACTGAAAGGGAGAGCGGTTGATTATTTGGATTGAATGAACTATCAGGAAACTGTCCTCCTCTTCAGTCACCATAGACCAGCTGACAATTCCAATAACTCCACAGGATACTTCACCCGGACTCAATATAGAACAATGGACTGAATTAATAACTAGCACACCATTCTAATTTCATTATCATGCGTAATTAGACAACAACAAAAGCACAGCAATTTAGGTTATAGATAGTACAATTCAATAGAACTTCAATGCTCAAATAGTAGGGAGTAGGGACAATGGTTTTTGTTTGAGTAGCATGCTGTTCAATTTATTTCCATTGTTGCTACCTATCACTGTATCACCGAATCACACTTTTTCTTCTGCTCATCCCAGGATACCATATAATTTTATTATTTTAATTTACATTGGAAAATCCATGGAATGGTAAAATGGCTTCTCTTTATAGGCTACCTTATCATTCCCTATCCCCCTGTACCTTTATACCTTTCTAATCTTCTGGCTGAAATGCAACCATATAGGTTTTGTGGAAATGCTTTTTACTAATTTTTTTTTATTTTTGAAACTTCATCGTTTTTGGCTGAATCCAGAATTCCAAAAAAAAACTTACAATAGTGAGTCATTTGATACATACCTTTATCATATTTCACCAAAACCTGTAGGGTCACATTTTGGCCAGAACAGCCATAGACCACTTATAGGGTGGCTTACCCACTTTGCGGCCAAGACCTGTTTGCGACCATCAACTTCATCGATTAAATTAATGCTGAAAAAATTTATGAACCGGGACGATATTTCTCACACGTTATCGTCCACTTATCCCTCGTAGCTCTGCGAAATTACACTAAAATTCCGTCACAAACAAAAAAGTTACGACCGAAAACCCGACTGAAGAAAAAAAACGGACCATTTTTCCATGTCGCCAACTACCCATTGTCCCTTTGAAAAAGCTTGAAAACCAATACAAATATAAGAGATAAAAAGATGAAACTTGGCAGGTAGGTAGAGTTCTGTTTCTTTTAACCATCTTTAAAGTTTCGCGTTTCTACATTTAAAGGAGGGGGAGTAGGGGGGTGCGCATTTCCAATACGTCGATAATAGCATTGTCGACCAATTTACGACCACCGTGTTTTTGTTTGTTTGATTGCTGTAATGCGGTGCTTTGTTTATAATTTGACGAGTTTTGTTCAAAATAACCTTGTTCTTAAAATATATGACAGTCAGAAATGCAATGAGAAGCTAATTTTTTTCACGCATGGCTGCGTATGCCCTAGTCTCGACGCAGCAGAAATGATGTTCAAGGCTTGAAATCCGTGGTCGCACACTGGTCGTTCGGTCGCAAATAGGTCTTCAGAGTGTCGTACTTTGGTGGTTTGTATAGCTTTAACCCCTGGTCGTATAAAGGTAATTCGAGGTTTAGCGTGTAGAAGAAATGCCCATGCACCTACGGTGAAAAAATTAACAGGTTAGAAATATTGGTTTTTGTTTTATAGCCGTTTGAATGAAATCGTCCGCAGACTGGCTACACCACCCTACCACTGTCGCCCTTGAGTGGTGCATACCATATATGTACACACCCTTTAAACTTGACCATTCCCGCGTTTTATAGTATGTGGTATCATCACTCAATGGTGTTGTACATTCATCCAAATTCTTAATTTTTTTATTATTATTACTATATTCATATGCAGTGTGTTTCATGTTGTGTAGTGTCTCTATTTATAGATGTTGTTTTGTCTAACAAACTCCTTTGTACAAACAGTTTTGTACACTCCACCCTTATCCGTGTTACCGCATCCACCCACCCTCCTTGCACAACCAAAGAACCATATTGTACATATTTGATTTACCCTATTATAATTTATATATATCAAAAGGGGTGTATGCCGCACATTTGTGTTTTAGGCCAATACGGTCTTGTGCATAAATCCCGTCTTCAGCATTTATAATTACTTACTCTTTTATATTGCTTTTACGAGACGAATAAACATACATACATACATAGTCTCAAGTCATTGCAACTGGGATAGCTAGAGAAGTACCAATTTACGAAAACCAGCCTATGTAGCCTATAGGTACTTTCCCCTTTTACCACGCGTGCGCACTGCGCAACCGTTTGACCTCTCCCCGACCCCTGAAAGATTTTCCCCATACTTTATCATTGCAAAATTTTTGAACAATGATTTTGAGATTGTTTTGGTGAGTTGGCGCTTACGAACTAGCTCACATGTTCAAAACTAATATTTTCATTCAAAACAAAAATTCACGTGCCCCCAACGACTAACATACCCCTTTCTCGATACTGATAGCTAATTTTAGGCTAGTCTATCGCAGCGTTTGCGATATGAATTTGTGATCATTGCTGTTAAACTAAAGATTCTTGGAATACACAATGACAATCAATTTGTTTGATCAACAACTATTTCCTGGAAACACTACTGAAAACTGACAAATAACACGCAAAACTACCAAAAAGAGGCAATGTTTACACCACGCCCAAATATCTGTACAGAGACAAAAATGTAATAACTATGATCTGTCTGAGCGAAAAAAGTGCCTAAGCGGAGGTATAAATTTGAGTTATTACGTCATTGTTAACCCTTTGCTGATTTGTGATTGTTACGGGAATAAACAAGGAAATCGATGGTCGGGGAAACATCCATAACTTTAGAAGTGGGAATTTTTTTCATGAATTTGATTCTATTTATTTTTTCAGAATTTTTGACGCTCAGTATTTACCATAGAGTCAACAGGGATGCATATATATCTCAAGTAATGTATGGAATAACTCAGATAAGACAGAAAACAAATTGTGCAATATGACAATTTCTTTTCTACTGATATGTGTGTCATGCAGCACAGAGTATCTCATATAATTTTACTTGGCCTATTATTCTTGCATAAATGACATGACTAGGTGTCAAATATCCTCTGAGTCGATCATGTTTGCCGACGGAACCAGTGGCGTAGCCAGCCCGAAATTTGGGGGAGGGGCCGAATTTGAAAATTTTAGAAATTATATTGGGGTTAAGACACCCCTTCTTCAAGCGCATAACAACAGCAGTGTATCAATAAGCAAACTGATTCAACAACTCAGCTGGCTTTTTGTGAATACAAAATCCATTTTAATAAACAACTTTTTATTATGTTACCAGAAGCACAGAACATGACAGTCTTGACATTGGAAGTCAATATTCGTCTGTTTTCTTTTGTTTGCGTTTTTCGCAGCTATAGCCTAGTTGATTCTCGGGGTCTGGTATAGTTTAGTACCACAAGCATAACCGTAGCATAACGAACTTTGCATATGCTATTCCTGACCCCCACCTGACTATGCCATCCAAAAATTACGTCACTACCACGTCACCATCACGTCATAGGGACTGCCAAAGTATAATTACGATCGCCCGAAATGTCATCTGCGCCGCCGTTAACGAACTTGCTAAAGCCGGCGATCTCTCTCCCATCGTGATCGTTGTGACGAGAAAACGGGAGAAATTGCTTGTTCGATTTCGAGTGATCGTCTGCGCGTTTTGGACGACCATTCGCATACTTCGGTGGACCCTATGACGCCACTGTGACGTCGAAATGACGTATTTTTTCGGTGACGTAGTCAGGTGGGGGTTAGGATTGACATATGCAAAAATTGTTGAGCCAGGACAACTAGAAGTACATGTGGTACTAAACTCTACCAAACCCGATTCTCGGTGGTAATTTGTGTCTAGGTGGGCTACCTAGACACCTAGCTTTTTCCATAAATTTTTCGTAGTCAATGCATAGCCTAGTCTTGTAGCAAAAGCAGTGTTTCTGAGAGTTCCATGCTTCTTGCATGACGATGCATATCTTACACAAACCATCCCCATCACAGAGTTGGGTGTAAACTAACCAACTGCAAAATCTGGGGACGGACTAAAAGTAGGCACTTGCAAATTAGGCACTTTGGAAAAAAAGTAAAAAGGGCGTAATACCTTTTAAAAACATAATTAATTAGTTAAAAATGGTCAAATTAAATGTTGGAAATGCAAATTGCAACGGGCAAACTCAATAACAATATTTAAAACGTAGTATTAAAAGCAGTCGCACGCGCTTGGTCACCACATATGCTAAATTCCAGTACTAGACTCAAGTGCATCCATTCGATATTTGCCCAGGCTAATCAGTGTGGGTAATATGTTTATTTCTTAGTCTTTTATTAGTGATAATTGCCATTTTCTTTATTTTTCGAAGTGCCTAAATATGTGCCTAGCATACGCGGTGACAGAGCGCGTGCGCGTCCCTTCAATACTAAGTTTTAAAAATCGTTATTGGGTTTAACTGTTGCAATTTTTGCGTTCAACATTTAATTTAAACATTTTGAACTAATTCATTATCTTTCTAGGAGTTACCACGTCCATTTCACCTTTTTTTCGAAGTGCCTAAATATGTGCCTAAAAAAGTGCCTACCGGTAACAATTTATTATTTCTAAATTCCAGTACTAGACTCAAGTGCATCCATTCGATATTTGCCCAGGCTAATCAGTGTGGGTAATATGTTTATTTCTTAGTCTTTTATTAGTGATAATTGCCATTTTCTTTATTTTTCGAAGTGCCTAAATATGTGCCTAGCATACGCGGTGACAGAGCGCGTGCGCGTCCCTTCAATACTACGTTTTAAAAATCGTTATTGGGTTTAACTGTTGCAATTTTTGCGTTCAACATTTAATTTAAACATTTTGAACTAATTCATTATCTTTCTAGGAGTTACCACGTCCATTTCACCTTTTTTTCGAAGTGCCTAAATATGTGCCTAAAAAAGTGCCTACCGGTAACAATTTATTATTTCTAAATTCCAGTACTAGACTCAAGTGCATCTATTGGATATTTGCCCAGGCTAATCAGTGTGGGTAAAATTTTTAATACTCTGTCTTTTATTGGTGATAATTCCGATTTTCTTCTTTTTTCAAAGTGCCTAAATATGTGCCTAGCATATGTGGTGACCAAGCGCGTGTGACTCCTTTTAATACTACGTTTTAAATATTGTTATTCGGTTCACCCATTGCAATTTGCGTGGTATACATTTATTTCACAATTTTTAACTAATTAATTATCATTTTAAAAGTTATTACGCCCATTTCACCTTTTTTTTTCGATGTGCCTAAATAAGTGCCTAAAAAAGTGCCTACCGGTAACAATTTATTATTTCTAAATTCCAGTACTAGACTCAAGTGCATCTATTGGATATTTACCCAGGCTAATCAGTGTGGGTAATATTTTTATTTCCCTGTCTTTTATTAGTAATAATTGCCATTTTCCTTATTTTTCGAAGTGCCTAAATATGTGCCTAGCATATGTGG